GTAATAAAAACAACACAGTACTCACATAAAAACAGACACAGTGATCACTGGAACAGAATTGAAGACCCAGATTTAAATCTACACATTTTCAGTTACCTTATTTTTGACAAAGGAGGCACAAACACATGCCACAATGTTCAACAAATATGGCTAGTCAAACTGTATATAGATATGTAGAAGAATGAAACTAGATTCTTATTTCTCACCATGCACAATACTCAAATCTGAATTGATCAAGGACTGAGATACTTAAGACTTGATACCCTGAATCAGATAGAGAACAAAGTAGGGAGTACTTTGAAACTTGTAGGCACAGGAAAAGATTTTCTGAACAGGTCTCCTCTAACACAGCCATCAAGTCCAACAACTGACAAATAGGACCACTTGAAACTAAAAAGCTTCTGTACCCCAAAACACACCATTATTTGAGTGAAGAGACAACCCACAGAATGGGAGAAATCTTTACCAGCTATGCCTCTGACATAGGGATAGTATCTAGAATATATACAAAGGACACAAAAAAACTAAACATCAAAAAACCAAACAACCCAATTAAAAAGTGAGGCAAGGAACTGAACAGGGAGCTCTCGAAACATGAAATGCAAAGACTGAGAAATACTTTAAAAAACATTCAACCTCTTTAGTCATCAGGGAAATGCAAATTAAAACCACTTTGAGATTTCAGTTTACTCCACTCAGAATGGCTCAGATCTAAAAACAAACAATGACAAATGCTGATGAAGATGTGGAGAAAGAGGAACTCTTATCCACTGTTGGTGGCAGTGCACTGTGGAAATCAGTGTGGAAATTCCTCAGAAAGCTCAAACTTGATCTCCTATATGATCCAACCATACCAGTCTTGGGCACATACCCAAAGACTCTGTATTCTACTCCAGAAATACCTGCTCATCCATGTTCTTTGCTGTTCTTTTCATAAAAGCCAGAAATTGGAAACCACTTAAAAGTCCATCAACTAATGAATGGATAATGAAGGTACAGTACATATACACCATGGAATACTATTCAGCTCTTAAAAATGAATTATGGAATTCTCCATTGAGTGGATGGAACTGGAATCAATCAACCTGGGTGAGATAACCCAGACTCAGAAAGACAAACGTTGCATGTTCTCATAGTTGGATGCCAGCTTTGAAATCTTAGATATGCATGTTTCAATTTGAAAATTCAGAGAAGTCAGGAAAATAAAAAAGGCCATGGAGGTGGGGGAGGCTTTCTGGGAGGGATGATAGAATGCAGTGGTTTAAAGGAGGAAACGGGAGACTGCAGAGATGCCTCAGTGGTTAAGAATACTGGCTGTTCTTGCAGAAGACCCAGGTTTTAATCCCAGCACCCACATGGCAGCTAACAACTGTCCATAACTCCAGTTCCAGGGGATCTGACAGACTCTTCTGTCCTCCATGGGCATTGCACAACATGGGTACACTTACCTACATGCAGGCAATATACACATAAACACAAAATAAAAATAACAAATAATTAAAAATAAATAAAGGGGGAAATGGGAGTAATAAAGTAGGAGTAGTTAAGTGGGGTGGGGAATGGGAAGAAGGGCAGAGGAGGGGGTATGGGAAGAGATAACCAACACTACCAGCCTTTAGCAAAAGCCATGAAAACCTACCACTCTAGATGTTTCTTAAAGTACATACATATACATTATAAAGAGATATTAAAGCTAGGAATGACGGCATGTGCCTTTAACCCCAGCACTTGAGAAGCAAAGGCAGGCAGATCTCTGCAAGATCATGGTCAGCCTCTTCTATATAGTGTGTTCCAGGCCAGCTGGGGCTAGATGGAGATGCTGCTTCATAAAGGTCAAAAAAGGGGGGGTAAAAAGAAAGAATGAAAGGAAGGAAGGAAGGAAGGAAGGAAGGAAGGAAGGAAGAAAGAAAGAAAGAAAGAAAGAAAGAAAGAAAGAAAGAAAGAAAGAAAGAAAGAAAGAAAGAAAGAAAGAAAGAAGAAAGAAAGAAAGAAAGAAAGGAAAGAAATTAAAAGGACTTACCTTATAATAGGGGGACATTGCCCCTAGACACCATAGACTAACAAAATAAAACCTTAATGTCAGGAATGAATTTCCCCTCTTGAAGTTGCTGACCAGGGGTCCCATAGACCCTCAAACACTACTGGCCATTGTCTGCTCTTGGTTACCCACCAGAAATTCATGATAAGACCCTACTGATGAAGACACTACATACATGAGCTGTAGAATAAAAAAGGAGAAACATAGCTGGTACCAACTCCAAAGCTTCATTTCTCCTGCCTAGCTTTCATAGTGCTGGAATGTACCACCACTTGAAGGAAAAAATAGTCATCACCCTTTCTGGCTATGAAACCTACAAACTACACAAACAACTGGCCATGCAAGGTATGCCCACTGGTATAATAGTGGCAGGAATATTATGAAAGTAACCAGTCACTTTCTAACTGGATTTAAGGCCTGCTTCATAAGATAGAGCCCATACCTGACATTGATATTAGGCCTAGGAACCTAAGGCTATACAGGTCACAGAACATAGGAGAAAGCCTAATACTACCTTTCTAATAAATAGTTATAGTATTAAACTGACTCCTAATGATTTATTGTTATATCCATCGATTAGTGCATCTCTCAGCTCTCACCAGAGAAGTTTCCTTATGCAGCAGATGGTGATAAACATAGAAACCCTCAACTGACCAATGTGCAGAGGACAAGAAGTTGCAGAGAGCTTATCCCTGAGTACTACAATATGTCAAACTTCTGCCTCCCAGGCTCAGGAAGAGAATGGAAAGACTACGAGAGCAGGAGGTAGTAGATGACCACAAGGAAGCAGACTTTTCCAGATAGCCAGACAGCCACTCATATGAACTCACAGCATTTGTGACAGCATACAAAGGTCTCATGCAACCTCAAACCAGATGTGGGGAAATGGATAAGAAATCCCAACCTTACCTAAGGAATTTTTGGCAACTGATTGTTGCTGGGAAGGGGAGAATCAGTCTCCTTCAAGGTTTTGACTCTTTTTAGATTAACCAGGTTCCAATAGATAGACCCACACTGAAGTACATTTGGGGACACAAATTAGATTTTATAGGCTTTATTTTATATATAACAGAGTGCCACATTTAACTGGGTGAGGGACAGTAAGAGGAGGTGAGGATGGGGGGGATCCAAATATCACCAAATAATATAGTATGAAAATAACAAAAATTCAAAACAATTTTTTAGATTTTTATATGTATTTGTTGGTAGACGGTTCTCCAATGTGTGCATTCCTATAAGATCACTCTTAAGAAGTTAAATGATGGGGCTGGAGAGATGACTTAGCAGTTAACAGTGCTGGCTGCTCTTCAGAGGAGTCAAGTTCAATTCCCAGCACCCACATAGTGGCTAACAATCATCCATAACTCGAGTTCCAGGGGATCCAATGCCCTCTCCTGGCTTCTGCAAGCTTTGCATGACACAGATGAACTTACATACATGCAGGGAAAACACATACACAGAAAAATACAAATAAGTTTTAACAAAAAAAGAAGTTAAATGATAGTAGAGCTTTATGGATTTTTCCTTTTATTTGAATGCCCTTTAAAAAAAAACTCAAGAAACATAGAACTATATAAAATAAGCTGTACTCCTTGGAGGTAATTTACATAAATCTATATTCTTTGACTAGAAGAAGATTAAAGGTATTTCATATTTTTATTGGCCATTTGCATTGCTTCATTGTGAATTCCCTACCTACACTTTTGTCTGTCTGTTTCTATATAGTGTTTATTTCTTATAGGCTTGAATGATTCTTTACATATTGAACATATTAATCTCCTGTTTGTCTTAAATGTTAGAAAATACTTCTCCCATTTTTACCATTTTTTCAGTTTTGTTTATGATAGCTTTTGATGCATAATTTCATATTCATGTAGTGACATACCCAATATTTTTATGGCTTCTGCTTTGAGGCTATGCCTAAAAAGACCTCCCACATATACAGAATATATAAATAGTTAACTGAAGTTTCTTTCAGATTTTTATATTTTCCTGGAATTTCTTTCACTTTATAGTGAGAAGCAAAGAATTAGATTGTTTAACTAAAATTACACTAGTATTAGTTATTGGCTAAACCATTATTTTACATTTTTTAAATGTATTGTCTTTTTATACACCCAAAATAGACATACTCTGACATTTGAGATTGCCTATTCTATTTTATTGTCCTATTCTCAGTTTTTTATATTTTCCTGGAATTTCTTTCACTTTATAGTGAGAAGCAAAGAATTAGATTGTTTAACTAAAATTACACTAGTATTAGTTATTGGCTAAACCATTATTTTACATTTTTTAAATGTATTGTCTTTTTATACACCCAAAATAGACATACTCTGACATTTGAGATTGCCTATTCTATTTTATTGTCCTATTCTCATACAGTTTCTGCATATGTATGTTCATGCAACTTTATTACAATTTTTTACCAGTTGGTTGTTCCTTTTCAATGTATTTTGGCTACTGATGTTCAATATTCTTTCAGATAACGTTCAGAAGTTACAAAAATATATTCACTTGCACTGCTCCTGTAACTTATTAATGGTATAGAGTGACACTGGAGAACTGTCTTCTTTACCGCAGAAATGGGGTGCTCAAGAAAGGAAATGCAGGAGTGTGTGGAGAAGCCGTAAGAGGCACACATATGTGACTGAGGGCATGTATCAATGCCGAATTCCGCAAGAGCTGAGGCACAGTGGACCCTGAATCATTGGGTAGTGGCCAGGCTACATTTAGGTTTATCTTGGAAGTAGTGCAGGAATTTTAAGGACAATTAATTCCACAGACATATATGTCCTAATGAAACTGTAAAGACACCAGAGACCAAAGACTACTATAAGCACCCACAATAGTTTTGGGCCAAAGAAAATGGAAAGATTACAGAGTTAGTAGCTACTGCCTCTTCAGGTGTTAGTGTAAAAGAGGATCTTTTAACATGCTGAGGTAAGATCTGGCTCATTCACAGGTAGAAACCTCTGCCAGCAACAGGAACAGGGACACCAGGAAATAACTTCTGAATGAAAGAGACAAGACCCGCTTGAGTTTAGGCTGGTGGAGAGAAAGAGACGGCATGAGTTCTAAGAGGAAACATGGTGAAGGAGGTTCCTGAAAGTGAGGATTATAGCAAACATAGACCCTGGTGCACAAGTGACTCTAGGTAAGTTTGTTCTGTTGAACTAAATAGTGGGAGATAGTATGTGAGAGCTGAAGATTATGATGTGCAGGAGCAAGATTTAAGAATTGTGTCTTGGCCCTGGTTGGCTACAACATTTGCAAGACAGAAAACTCAAGTCAAGTAGGCAAGTAAATAAAAACAATCGAGTCACTTGGCAAAATAGTTATAGCCTTGAACAAATGTCACTGAGCATGACAAATCTCAAAGGACAATTGAAAGTGAACACCAATGTATGACCCTAATGTAATGCAGTAGTATATTTAGATGGTCCTTAAATCACATTGCAAATCATCTTCTATTGATCCATGTAACAAATTTGAAGGTGGAAAATTCCAGAAGGCCCTGACCAGCACAAAGTGGTTCTAAGTTAGATAAAATACACAGCTCTGTACTGATTCTAATAGGATGTGATTCCAATTGTATGCCATCAACAATGAAACTATTCATTTCAATAATGCTGTTTCAGAGAGGGAAAGGCTAGCCACTGGAAATTCAGAGGACCCATGGGCGTTTACAGAGGATCCATTGTTGAATGACTATATCACAAAGTAGTAGGAACAGAACCTGGTGATAAATTTAAGGATTTTCAAGGGTAATTCAACTCTATGGTTTTCACCCTTGACAATGACTTCCAGATGCTAATCCTTTGATGAGTTATGACTTTGCTCTAATTTGGTCAATTTACATACTTCTTAGTCTATCATTGTATTACATTCAAGTTGTCATGAACCCTTATCTGAACTAAGCCTCATGAACAGCCTAAGTACAAATCTCACATGGAGTATACACATTAAAGGACGCTACAAGAGGTTTTCTGTGTTAAAATTTTAGTTCTACTTTACATCTGTGTGACCTGGAGAAAGACATTTACTATCCCTAAGAGTCAATAGTCTAATGTGTAAAATGGGACTAAGAATAGTCTGTCACATGAAGTTGCAATCAGATCATTATTTATTAATGAGTGTGACCTGTATGAAAAGCTTAGAGTGATGCCTGATCTATTATAAATGCTCATTCAACATCACTTATTAATTACTATGCCTTACACTTGTCCTGCTGCTGAGAAATCAAGTATTTTGCTCAAATATATACAGCTATGGAATGGCTAAACCTATATTCATAAATTTTCATTCAATATTTTTCTATTTTATATTTATTCAAATATATATGAAAGTAGCAAGCCATGTCTCCTCTATCTCTCTTGCTTTCTCTCTCTTTCTCTCTTTCTCTCTCTCACACACATATATACACATAAAACAAAAAAGATTATTTAATAAAGCTTATGTTTATTTTGTGGAGGAAGTTTGGGGTAACATGTTTGATATTTACACATATGTAAATGCATATGTTGTATGTGATTGTGTGTGATTGTGCTGCTAGAGTTCATCATGAGGTCCTTTGTTTGGGAAGGTAACAAATCTTCTATAAAGGGCACAGAAAGTCAGCAAGCAAAGGATTTATTTAGAAATGTATTCATTGGCTCTTTCTCTTCTAGTCCTAGGTGCCTCTGGAGCCCCAGGTTCCCATGCAGACATGGCCAAGTCCAAGAACCACCCACACACAACCAGTCTAGAAAATGGCATCAAGAAACCATAGTCAAAAGACACAAATCTCTTCAGGGGGTAGACCTCAAGTTCCTGAGGAAAATGCGTTTTTCCAAGAAGCACAACAGGAAGGGCCTGAAGATGTAGGCCAACAACACCAAGGTCATGAGTGCACTCGTCCAGGCTGTCAGGCCCTTGTGAAGCCCAAAGAGATTAAGCCCAAGAGGCCAAAGGTCCCATCAACAAGCTCCACTGACTTGCTTTCCTCACCCACCCCAAACTTGGGAAGTAGATTCATGGCTACATGGCCAAGGGTTGCAGGCTCTGCCAAGCAGAGGTCAAGGCTGGGACTGCAGCTCCAGCTAAGACCCAGGCTCTAACTGAGGCTCCCAAAGGTGCCCAAGCCCCTGTAATAAAGGTCTTTGCCAATGTAAAGACAGATGGACTGGTGTGACCTCCCTCCCCACTCTTTGCAGAGGGCTGGTGTCCTGGGCTATTTTTACAGATAAACTTGAGGGCAAGAATGAAAAAAAAAAGTATTCATTGATAAAATGAAGCGTAGATATGTTGGGGAGCAGTGCAGGTAACTGGGGGAATGAGGACCACCCTGGAGATGCTTCAGGCGTTCCTTTTATTGGCTCAGAGATGTTGATGAGGGGAGTGTTTAGCAGGAATTATTTCACTGGCTCTGCCTTTTATAAGTGATATTATCATATCTTTGGGTCATGGATATTACCAATTTAAAGCTGCAGGACCTTTGCAATGGGGTCTATTTTTCCATTAAATTTGCCCTTACGTGTGGAGTACCACCCATAAATGAGTCCTCCCCTGGGGGTTTTAGAGAACTGTGCATGCTCAGAGCATTTGTAGTTGGTTTTTTTGTTGTTGTTACTATTATTATTGGTTTTTGAGACAAAGTCTCCTGAATCAAAGGTTGGCCTCAAATTCTCTTTGTAGCTAAGACTGACTTTGAATCTGATCCTCATGCTTCCACCTCCTGAGTGCCTCTTGCATGCTTCATCATTATAGATTTACATGGCAAGCGTTCTAAGAGCATCCAGCCCTGAATATTGAGTTCCTTTTCTGTCTGATTGGAGGAGAGAAACACTGTTTTTCACATTATTGTAAAATAAGAAGGGAAAGCATAAGGAGGGAGTTGGCCATTATCCCTGATCTCTGACTTCCTATGTGGCGGCCCTTTCTTACCTGGAAGAAAGTCAACCAGTACACAGGGGTGAAAGGAATTTCTCACTGACCTCTCAGAAGGTTCTGTTACCAGCTTTGCTCCCAGACTGGGTCTTTTTCCCCTCTTGGAATTGTATAACCAATAATAAGACTAAGCATCAATTAAGCAGTGAAGGAGACTTTTTTTCTTGGCCTAGACTACAGGAAAAGTAGAAGATAAATGTCTCCATCTTTTGGGGTCTGGAGATATAAATGTAGGGTGGAGAGATAAACTAAGAAAGGGAGGAGCTCATACCCATTCTGGAAATGGACTAAGGTTTTCTGGGAATTTGGACATTGCCTCTTTTCTCTTCCTTTCTAATTCTTCCAGGTCTTTGCTATGCAACTGTCAACAGTCCTGGTGCTGAAGGTATTGTTTGGCATGCAGGAGGGATTATAAGGAAGTTGGAGGTTGTCTAGAGTCTCTTCAGCCATCTTAGATCCAACTTGTGCCTAAAGTACCTGAAGAGGGACTTCTAGGTGATAAGCACCCTGTCCTCAAAGACAAACAGGATGGCAGTGGGAAAGGAAGAAACATTTACAAGAGGACACTAAAGGAAGGAAAGTGAGTAGCCAATAAGCCAAGGAAACTCAGCAGTTCCTAGTCTCTCTGCAGGGCAAAGGAACTGGGAGGCATCTTGAGTGAGCAGAAATGATGAGAGAGGCAGATAGGCCCTGAGAGCATCCTGAGACAAAGTTTTCTGGGATGTAGGAATGAGGCTTGGTTTTCGGTCTCTTTCTCTGTGATTATGAGTTTCATTTTCCTTGGTTAATAAAATTACGAAAAGCGGAGTGAAGGCAGCTGTGTTACATTTTGACGCATCTAGTCTTTAATGCAGAAATGATGAGAGAGGCAGATAGGCCCTGAGAGCATCCTGAGACAGTTTTCTGGGATGTAGGAATGAGGCTTGGTTTTTGGTCTCTTTCTCTGTGATTATGAGTTTCATTTTCCTTGGTTAATAAAATTATGAAAAGCGGAGTGAAGGCAGCTGTGTTACATTTTGACGCATCTAGTCTTTAAATAGATAAAGAAGCTTCAGGGAAAAGCCTGTCTCTGTCCTGGAGTGGGGAGTAGGGAAGGTGAGACCAAGTTCAGAGGTCTGTGGCAGCTCCTTAGACTTTCCAGTTTCCTTTAGCTCTGTGTTCAGTATGCTAAAATGTCATACTTTGGGCTATCATTGTTGAGCCCTGACAAGTGACACAAACCCTCTTGCTCTGAAGGACCTTGTCGTCACAACTTCTAATACTAAAGAATAAAAGCAGTAACACCTGACATTTATTGGGAGCCCATAATGTGTTGACAATGCTATGCTCTTTATGGATACTGCTTCTAAAAGTTCTCAGCATTTCTGTTTTGCAGAAAGGAAGGCTGGACTTAGAGAGGTACTGTCATTTATCTAAGGTCAAGCTCCTAATGAAGGTTGGAATAGGTATCCAATTCTAGCTTTGCCTAACATCCAAACCTTTTTTCTATTCTACCCCACCCATGCCAACCAAAGCTAATAGGAATTAAAAAGAATTTCAATAGTCAAGAGTAATAAAAGATGAGCCACTATAAAAGTCACCATTGTGCACTTTAAAAAGGGAAAAGGGAATATTAACTACTTTAACTTGGCTTAAGGAAATGCTTTTACAATGGCTATATTTTTCCTTTATTTTTCTTGTCCCCAAACAAGAGAACAAAGAGTCAGTCTAAGTCCACAGCAGGTAAATTTAGGAAGAAAAAAAAACCAAAATATTTTTCCCCCCAGCATGGAGCCCCTCTACAGAATTCCATATCATAAAAAAAAAAATGCTGTAGAGTCAAACACCAGGACTGTAGCTTTGAAGGCATTTTGGTTGATTTAATAACCAACAACAATGCTGGCTGTTGACTGGGCTAAGATTAGAGAAACCATATCACGCTTCAGGGCTTCCGTTGATTTATGCAAAGAACAAACACTTGAGATTTTTCCTCTCTCCTACTTATGCTGTCTGCCACACAACCCAAGTATCCAGACGGGTTGCATGTCCTCCCTCTGCCCTCTGGAGCTCTAGGATCTGTAGTATGACAAATATGTCACTCCCAACCCATCTGAAAGAGACAGCCAACCTCAGACCTCACAGAAATAGCTAATCCAGTCATTGAAGGGTTACCCTGTCTAAATCTCCAGCCACAAAGTGAAAACAGAGAAGGGTCTTTGTTTATTGATTTGCCTAGGACCCTCTGACTGGCAAAGGAAGAAAAAAACAGCCCAGCACAAAATAAATGTTCGATTTCTTTTATGTAAACAAGATTGAGACCAACTTGGCTGTACAAAGTAATTCTTTGCATGTAAAGCAAAAAATAGCTCCCCTGAGGAGGAAGGAGCCCAAGCCCAGCTCACTCCCCTGCTTTCCACCCTTCCCCAGCCATTTTCAGTAATCACTGCGTTTCTGCCAATGAATGTCTTATTCAGAGTCCCTGTGCGGGAGTATTGCAGGCTAGAGCTCACCCCCACCCGACCACCCCATCCAAAATGTTTTCTGATCAAGATAAAGGATATGGGGTCCATGCTGAAAGTCGCTGTTATTGCCAATTATCTCCACAAAGAAGGGAAAACTTTTATCCAAAAATCTCAGTCTCTGATTTCCTTCTGTGGGGCTCTGATCAGTCCCAAACAGCTTTTATGTGGGTTTAGAAGTGAACTAAGGAGAGACCTAAGAAAGCAATTCAAATTCATTTTTGTGGAACATCCAGCTGGTAGATGGCAATTTGGATGTAATTCTTTTAAACAAGGATATCAAAAACTTAGTACACCTTTAGGGACCAAGAAAGTTAATTCTAAATCCTTGTTCCATCATTATTCATGCCAATCTCTTAGTGACTTCAGCAAAGCATCTGCTAACTTGGATCACATGATTGCACTTCATAAGCTAGGGTATCCATGGACAAGAACACTTTAAAGGAAAACAGAATCAGGCTGAACCTTTGCCTAAAACTCAATGCCAACACAAACAAAGATACTTAAATTTCAAAAGACCTGATTGCCAATGGAGAAGGGATCTGTTTCCGTGTTCATACATACCCCATACATACAGGTCCTAGAGAAATCTCATTGGAAAATCTTATTCCCTTAGAGTCCAGTGAGGTCAAGCTACTGAGCGTCTACACGCTACAGGCATTTTGCGGGAGGGGATATGTGTGATGCCCCTAAAATTCCAAGTGTTAGGGGAACATTTGGGCTGATAGTGGTCCCCATGTTAGTGGGGTACATAGTGAAGAAAGGTTTTCTTTTATTGGGCTCACAGATACCTCCTGAGAACCCAAATCCTACCAGATTTGTGCTGCAAATGAAGAACACATTCAAGATTTAGCCAACAAGTCCTTGGAAAATCCTCCGTGTGAACCAACCTAAAGGGACGGGGGTGTCAAGGCCATCTTTTCTTCATGATTGCTCATCATTTCATTATGTAGTAAGGAACACGCTAGGAACTGAGTGGTCTGAGTACTTAGGATATGAGGGGACAGGCAACTCTCTCCCTCTTCTTTCCCATTTACCTTGGTGCTTAGAGGAAAGCTCAAGTACAGAAAGAGGCAATACAAGGAACAGGTATGTTAAACCTTAAAAGCTTCACATGTAAATTCCTGCCATTCTACCCATCTGATTCCCTTTTAGTAAATTCCTGGCACTTCAGCTTTTCTGTGTAGCAATGAGAGTAGCTAACAAAATGGGCAAGAAGAACCTATAATCAGAAGTGTGTGCTGCTTATTGTTCACATAGGCATGTACTTATAGCCTGTTTCACCCCACAAAAGACTTGAGGTGGAATGACTGTTCATTTTCAAAGCATGGAACTCTTCATGTTGGTTATTATTTTGACTCAGACTAGAGAATGGGAAAATCTTAGGTATGGCCTGTTGAGCTGTACATCAACAGGCCATACCTAGTTGAGCATCTTCAACTAGGCAGAGAACACTCCAGTGGTTAAGTGCTTAGTGTTTTGGCATTTTTGCCCTAAAACAAACTGTATCTGCTACAGACTGATGCTTCTTTTTATTCATTGTTGATGTCTGCCTTAACCACAGACAGCAAAATTTCTTCAAGACCAAGTTCATCCAAGGATTACCAAGGAAAATGAGCTACGGTGCCAGGGTCATGAGGGAAGAAATTACTTTCAAGGGACTGATGGCATCCTCCCACCATTTCCTGTCAGAAATCTTCAACTCTCTTAGGTGATTCTTGGGAGAAAGATC